CAGGATCCGAGCCGTTCACGGAGCTGGAGCAAACACGCAAAACTATATAACGCTGGTATTGGATACGCTCGGTGTAATGGAGCCCAGGTGGTGGGTTTGGATGATGTGGAGTTAAGATTATCCGGGAATCTCTTCCTCTATATCGCCAGACAAGGAACCCATAAGAGATCTGGCGCGCTCAGCCCGTGTCTTCTGGGAGATTCCTGCTGCAGGCCTGGAGTGGGCCCCGTGCTATGTGCGGTCTGTGCTCGACTGGAGGGCGATGGTCGGCGCCCTCGCGCCTGGTTTCAATCTTCCAGCTCCTTCGAGCGATGGCGGCAAGTATTTCTTGAGCAGGCGCCAAAAAAGTGGGTCAGCGCAGGGGGGGCCCTTGGGGCTGCTATCCTGAGTGCGAAAAGGGCTGGGTGGACATCCCCAGGACCTTCTCACGATGATGGATCAGAACGGAGAGGTGCACACCCTAACGACTACGTCATCGCCTCTGCTACGATTCTGGCTGCAACAGGCGTGGCATTAGCAGGTCAGTGCGCAGGCGGGTGGCAAGCTAGGCCTGGAAGGCCAACTTGATGCGGCCGTGGCGTAGGAAGTTCTCAAGTCTCACCCTTCGTCTGAGTCAGAAACGGTCATCATCGAGGCCTTCCTCACGCAAAGTCTTTGGACGCACGGGTGCCTGAGGAAAGCAGCATACCCAGCAGAGCCACAACGTGTTTGTGGACATGCGACAGATGATCTCTATCATAGATTCGTGAAGTGCCCGGGAGCTGAACCCCTCAGGCAAGAAAGTTTGACCAATGTCGCGAAGGAACTGATCCAAGGCCTGTCCAAGGTGTCCGTACCAGGCCTGCCTCTTGGGGAAGCCCGACTTCTCTGCTGGGCCCCCTGCTGGGCTTGGGATCGATTGCCTAAAGTTGTAGAGCAAGGAGGGCAAGTCCGCCCAACAAATTTTCAAAGGCAGCATGTACACCGACGGGCCCTGCCTCACGCAAAGGGCACCAAATTTGTCATGCAGTAGGATGTGCTTCCGTGGTGATTGACGAGCACGGAGAACTCACAGGGTGCGATGTATGGGCCAGTTGGCCTGTGTCTCTCTCAGTCCTCCCCCTCGGCTAGGCGTCTTGTTGTGCTTGCCGCTGGTTCCTCTGGTGCCCCTTACCCGACCACCCACATAATCACCGATTGCCGATGCATTCTAGATGTGTGTCAGGTGCCCCAGTACTAAGAGGAAACACGCACAAGCTGGTGGTTCCATGCTCGCCACCGGTAGCACGGGGTAGACTGCTAAAGTTGAGTGCGTGAAGATAAAGGCACATCAAGACCTTGAGAGCTCACCTCGAGACTCCCAGGATTGGCTAGATGCCAAAGGGAACGACGATGCCGATAGTGTGCACAGTGCTCGGTGTGAGCTGCGTCCATCGGTGACAGAGGTCGAGGTTGCGGACAGCGACACCAAGCTCTTCAAAGAACGGCTGGTCTCCGTTGCCCACAGTCTCAGCTCGTGGGAGCCCGTCGGTCCAACCACGGGCAAGACATCTCCTTCGGAGCGGGGCAAGAGTGCCGCGCAGCAGGTCGAGGCTGGAGCGCAGAGTGCCCCTGCAACCCGACAGCAAAGTGTCCCCCCGACCTCCCGGCCCAACGACTGCCCTTGCCCCCCCTCGCAGACGAGATGCGCGGGAGCGGGGAAGGAACGGGGAGCGGACCTGGACCTGTTTGTAGATGCAGGCGCGCGCCATCCAAACTCGAGGACAAGCGCGAAGAAGCCTGCCCAGGTGTGCACCTGCAGTTCACGGAGGCCGCGGCCAACCCTCAAAGCCACCGCCTCTATGGTTGTCCGTCCTGACAGAGGCGGCAGTTTCTTGATCGCATGTGCGAATTGTGGCCAGTACTGCGAATCAAATGCGAGAGGTTTCAGAGGGCAGTGTGGGAGAAGGTTCGATCGCCCAGCAGATCCAACCCAATGGAATCCCCAGTGGAATCTCTTTTGCAAGGGCAAGCATTCCCAAACATCCTTTCTCACCTTTCCCGCGCACAGAAACCCACCAGAGAGACTGTCGGATTGCCTCGTCCAGCAGCGAGCTGGCCAGTCCCAACAATAGGATTGCCGGCCATAAGGTGGACAAGCCGCCCCCAGCCACGTGATGATCCTCCTCCTCCTCTTCCTCCTCCTCCGCCTTCTCTTCCATCTCTCCTCCGCGAGACGCAGCAGTTACGTGAACTAGCGGTGTTGAGGTCCCAGGACCGGTGTTCTGGCACAAGTCTTGTCAGGACGCAGCAGTCGATTTCATTTGCGGCGTCGAAAAACCAAGGAGTTATGTGCTGGACACGATCTAAGATCATGTCTGAAGTTGAGGGGTGCCCGAGTCTGATAAAATACCCAAACATGTACAGCCATTGTTGTATTTGTTGTTTGTCCTGGCGAGGCATATGCCATTTTTGGAGTCCAGGGGAGGGGTATCGCAGGGACCTGTGAGGAGGGAACTTGGAGGGAGGGTTTATTGCAGCATCGCTGATGCGCTTTGGGTTTGCACTGGTCCTCCTCCTCCTCATCCTCCTCCTCGTCCTCCTCGTCCTCCTCCTCTGCCACCGCCACCTCCTGGTCGTCCTGGTGTTTGCCCGTTCGAGGGCGGTCTGCACTCAACCCGTATCATGAGGATGCGCGGTAAGGATGCCAGGGGCCTTGGAGGGCCAAGTTGGCGTTTTGTTCGAACGAGGCTGGCCAGTGAGAGTCGCTAAGGATGGGGCGAAGGGGCAAAGGATGGCCTGGGGTTGCGCACGCAGTCCCAGGAGGAAGCCAAAACTTGCGTCAACAGGCCTCCAGGGCAGTGTGGCGCGGTTTCGACTCCCCACGGGGCCAAAACACTCCCTCAGCACCTCCTGGGTATCCCCAGGGCCGTCCAAGTGCCCCAGGTCCCTCCAAACAGCCTTCTGGGGCAGCGGCTGACCAAACCACTGGACAGCTCGCCACTTGGGCCCCGCCGCCAGCCCAAACGGCGAGCATAAATCGGGCGTAGCCTTGCACGCAGTCGAATGCCCACACTTCGTCCTCGTACGGCTCGTATTATTACCAGGTCGCCACTCTAGGAAAAGTATTCACCAGAACTTCCACGGCTGCGACGGGGGGGGGGGGGGAAAACGTGTAGACAATGCATGTAGGCGTGCTTAACTCGTGCGCATGCATGCGTGCGTTCTTATAACAAATATGTCTGACGTGAAGACCGTCGGACCGCGAAATGCGAGCCTGAATCTGACGCCGCAATCCAATTCAAAACCCCCTCCGTTCTCTTATCCGAAAACGCCCGCAAGTGCTTCCACAATCAAGCGAAACCTTCCACCCACGAGCGCGCACCCAAAACATAACACGACAGATGTCCAAGAGATCGTTTGAAATATCCCGCTTCGCCGTCGCTTACCCCCCAAGCCCGGATCCCAAATGCAACCGCGACAACTTATACAACATAATTCTGCTCAAAACTCCCCCTGGGCCCGAGCCCCCCACCAAAAGGGAACAACCGCGCAGCCGCGACGAACTGCACAACATAAGTCTGCTTCGAATGGAGCAAGCGCGCAACCGCGACGAGGCCTCTGGCCCACGACCCAGGCGCGGTAGCGGGGAGGGCTGAAGGCAATCATACAAACAACCGATGCAAACTCGCGGCGGCGGCGGCGGTCCCGAGCACGAGGTGCACTTTGCAAAAGACGGATTCGGTGACGGCGGCCCGCCCAGAGACTGGGTGGCGTAGAGGCTTAGTAGACCTGGTGATATCGTATTCCTCCCCGTCCTCCTCCCCATCCTGATCGTCGTCATCCTCCTCCGTGTCCTTCTCCTCATCCTCCTTGTCTTTCTCCAGCTCCAGATCCTCCTCGTCGTCCTCGTCTAAGACCTCGTCCTCGTTTCTCCTCTTCCTCCTCCTGCTCATCCTCCTTCTCCTGGCACCTAGGTTGCGTCATAGGTTGCGCCATAGGTTGCGCCCTCGGCGGCCGAGAAAAAAACATCTCCTATCGGTTGCGCCATAGGTTGCATCCTCGTCGGCCGAGAATGAAATCGTCTCCTATCGGTTCCGCCATAGGTTGCGCCCTCGGCGGCCGAGAAAAAAACAGTTTCCCATTGGTTGCGCCATAGGTTGCGCCCTCGGCCGCCGAGAAGAAAACCGTCGCGTAGAAAGGTTGCGCTAAAACTTGCGCCCTTGGCGGCCAAGATACAACCGTCTCCTATGGGTTGCGCCATAGGTTGTGCCCTCGGCGGCCGAGAATAAAACCGTCTCCTATTGGTTCCGCCGTGGGTTGCGCCCTCGACCGCCGAGAATAAAAGCGTCGCCCATTGGTTCCGCCATAGGTTGCGCCCTCAGCCGCCGAGAATAAAACCGTCGCCTAGTGGTTGCGCCGTAGGTTGCGCCCTCGGCCGCCGAGAATAAAACCGTCGCGTAGAAAGGTTGCGCCATAGGTTGCGCTCTCGGCCGCTGAAAATAAAGCCGTCCCCTATTGGTTGCGCCATAGGTTGCGCCCTCGACCGCCAATAATAAGACCGTCTCCTATCGGTTGCGCCATAGGTTGCGCCCTCGGCGGCCGAGAATAAAACCGTCGGGTAGGAAGGTTGCGCCATAGGTTGCGCCCTCGACCGCCGAGAAGAAAGCCGTCGCCTATTGGCTGCGCCATAGGTTGCGCCCTCGGCGGCCCAGAATAAAGCCGTCGCGTAACGGGTGCGACCAGTCAGTGGTCAGTCGGTCAATTAGTCAGTCAGTCAGTCAGTCAGTCAATCAGTCAGTCAGTCAGTCGGTAAGTCGAAGTTTACTTCGCGAGCAACACATTCGAGCTACGCCCAACAAAAAAAATCTGGGCGCCCTGAGGCCAACATACTCGCCAGAACATTCAAGGCGCGGCGCCCCTAGGCGCAGAGGTGCTGAGACCACACCAAGCTGGGCCTGCTGAGGCCAGACTGGACTACGTACCTCCCGACGCGCAGCCCCAAGCCTTACGCGGGAATCTTTCGAATTCCCGCACACGACCAGCGACTCCCCGGCGGCCCGGTCCAGCTTCGAGACATTTGCGTTCACCGCCTCCGCCACCCTCCGCATCTCTTCCTTGGTGTGGTTGATCAGGTCGTCCACCTGCCCCCTCTGTCTCCTCCCTCCGGCCTTCTCCTCCTTTTCCTCCTCCGCCTCCTCCTCCTCCTCCTCCTCCTCCTCCTCCCCTCCCGCCTCCTCCTCCTCCATTCCATTCCTTGTCCTTGTAAATAGCTCCTCCCTTTTGCACCCCGAGACGTGTCGGTAGGGCGGGCTGGGCGTGTCGCTTGAGACTTCCTCACCATTTATGATCCTGGAGCTGGCAAAAGTTTCAAGGATGGAAGGCGGGTCCTTTTCAACGTGTTGTTCGGACCGCATACACTCGTCATTAAAAGTTTGCAGCAGTTTCACGGATGGGGAGCCGCTCCCTTTCAAAATGCTGTTATCGCCGTAGCACCGCGCACATTCGTCTTTAAAATCTATAACATCTTCACGGACGGGGGACGGGTCCTTTTCGAGGTGTTGTTCTCGTCCTAGCGCCGCGCACATTCGTCGTAAAAGTTTACATCGGCTTCACGGATGGAGGGCGTGAGTTTTCGCAATATGGTTCTCGCCGCAGTGCAGCGCACATCCGAATTCAGAATGTACAACCGCTTCAACTTGTTGAATTGCTGACGCCCCTGAAATGTTGCGTTGGCACGATGAAAGACTGACAGAGCGCAACAATAACGTTGATTCGCGGCGTTGAATTCCCAAGGACGGTGTGTTGGCGCGGCTCTGGATGTTCAAACCGTTGTCTTCCAACGGTGCACTGTTGCAACACCTTTGATGGGTCATGGGTTTACGCCTGTCCTCCTCCTCATCATCCTCATCCTCTTCTTCCCCCTCCTCTAGACGAGCGCGTTCCGCTACTCGCAAAGTAACTACCCGCAAATGGCCTGGATCCCCCGCGGAGGATCTACGATACATTACATCAAAGCGGACACGTGTTTTTTTCGGACGTTTGCGAGTAGGCACTGTGCGAGTAGTGGAACGCGCTCGGTGATCCTCTCCCTCCTCCGCGCAAGTTCCAGCGCCTCGACCAGCTGCGACGGACCGTGCACGGGAGGATTCTACGTTATGGGATTCTTTGACGAACAGGGAACCGAACTCTACACACCGACGCTTTTAACGGCCCTGTACTGAAATTTGCGCAGGAAAGCGGATCCTGGTGTATACGGGATCCTGGTGTATACATGTTTTCGCTGCTTCCCCAGGAAACGGAAAGACTAGTATACACCACACCACCCCGTCGTGGTCCTCAACACTCAAAAGGCCGTGGGATGGAAAAACAGCCCGCCGCTTGTAATGTATACGCTCCAGGTTCAGATCTAAACGCTACAGCCGACGTAGCCATACCCATTACCACAGAACTCCACGGGAAACGGCGGATATCGTGTTGGATTCCTCTCTTTCAGGGCTGTCGATGGGGGGGGGGGCGGGGGAGGGGCGAGAGCCCTGCGCCGACATCTCCTCCTCCTCCTCCTCCTCCTCCTCCTCCTCCTCCTCCTCCTGATCCTGATCCTGATCCTCCTCCTCCTGAAGATGGAGGAGGCGGAAGTCGGAGGAGGAGGAGGAGGAGGAGGAGGAGGTCAGAGGAGAAGGAGTAGGAGTAGAAGTAGGAGTAGGAGTAGGAGGAGGAGGAGGAGGAGGAGGAGGAGGAGGAGGAGGGGGAGGAGGAGGAGGAGGAGGAGGAGGAGGAGGAGGAGGAGGAGGAAGAGGAGGAGGAGGAGAAGGAGGAGAAGGAGGAGGAGGAGCAGTTTCTCCTGCACCGGACGCCCACCACGAGCAGTGCATCCTCGTCCGTAATTCACTCGTTCGGCCGCGCAGCGCGGCCGACAGGCACGAGAGAGGCGAGGGAGGAGGACAACAAGAAAGGAAGCGGCACCGGCGGCAGCGGCGCGGAGCCAACCATCCCTGGCATTGCAAGGGCCATCGCATAATGAACCCGGCGAGACCCCAATTAGGGGAACCCGAGGAACCCGAGGAATCTCCGAAGAACTTGTGCAGTCCCAAACCCGGATAGCAGCGCAGTCCAAAGCGCGTGAAACGCTTATAGGAGATAGGAGACGCTTGCAAGGACGCTGGAAAGCATGCCTGGCGAGCTTGCAAGCTTGGAAAATGCCTGTGGGAAACGCTTACCAGGACGCTGGAAAGCATGCCTGGGGAGCTTGCCAGCTTCGAAGAGCGAGCTTCGAAGGAGCTCCGAGGGAGCTGTGAAGAAGCCGCGGAAAAGCTTGAGGCACGCGTTCTGGGAACGAGTCGGAAAACGCTTGACCCGCTGCCGGCTCAAGCAACTCGCTCCAGGGATGCCCACCCGCGAGCCTTGGAGAGGCGCAGGCGCAGCCCTGCCTGCCGGCTCCTTATCTAACAGCCCTCTTAGCTCTCCAAAACGCTATCCCGGAAATCTCCGAGGAAACTCCTAAGAACGGGCAAAGGCAGCGTCCCGAGAGAACCCCCCCAAAACCGCTCAGCGGGAGGCAGACGATAAGGACAGCTGGGATAAGAGAAGTGACAGGAATGATCGAGGAGGGAAGAGGCCACAGAGCCGCGAAGATCACCGAATCTGGAGCCCCCCGGATCGGCGGCACTGGCTGGAGGCCATCACAATCTCCGAGGAATCTCCGAGGAACGGGCAAAGCAGCGTCCCGAGACACCACCCTTGAAGCAGGTAAGGAACCCCTTGGGCAAGCCGACGTGGGGCAAAAAGGAGCGCCTCTCCCACGCCCGACCGCCGCCGCCGAGCCCAGGCGAGCCCAGGCGAAGGACCCACCACAACGCGAACACACACACACACACACACACACTTCGGTCGGGCATGTCCTCCTACGGGCGGATGTTGGAAGAAGAAATAATAAGATGGAAAATACCAACGAAAAAAAAGCCAGCAAGCACAAGAGTGGACACCTGACTATTTCATCTCTTCGTGAAGATTCCTCCTGTGGAGGGGCATGTCCGACTTACGTAAACACACACACACACACACGCACACACACACACGCACACGCACACACACACACTAACACGCACACACTAACACACACAGTAACACACACACACACACACGCTCATCAGACAGGGAGAGCGGAGCCCTGGGACCCCAGCAGAAACGAGGACCACAAACAAGAGGAGCCACGGACCTAAGAATCACGGACCTAAAAATCACATCCTCCGAAACCTTCGGCGCGGCCCCGCGGGAAGGAAGCGAGCACGGAACCTCAACCATCCATCATCTGAGGGGGGAGTGAGGAAGAGGAGAAGCAGGAGGAGGAAAAAGAGGGAGGAGCGAGGAGCGAAGAGAGAGGAGGGAGGGGGGGGGAGGGAGGAGAGAGGGAGGAAAAGAGGAGGAGGATGAGGAGAACGAGGAGCGAGCAGGAGGAGAAGGAGGGCCAGTGGAAACCCAAGAGTCATCAACGATGTTGGAATTAACCCTCCCTCCAAGCTCCCTCTTCATAGGCCCCTACAACGGTTCATTTCCACTGAGGGGGCTGAAGATCCTGAAGCGTACCAAAACATTGTTCTCGGGATTTCAGCGCCACGTATCAACCTGACTGCTGCGTCTTGACGATCCAGAATCGTACCAGAGCGCCACTTTGGGGACTCCAACACAGCGAATCAACATAACTGTTGCGCCCGCATAATCCTGAATCCGTTCAAAACACCACTTCTGGTAAGCTGGTCATGCGAATCCGAGAAACGCTTGCAACTTTTAAAAACGAATGTGCGCGGCGCTAAGGCGACAACACCATGTTGAAAACGACCCGCCCTCAATCCGTGAAACTCTTGCACTGTTTCTAATCGGATGTACGCGGCGCTGAGGCGAGAACCACCTTGTGAAAACGACCCGCCTTCAATCCGTGGAACTTTTGAGGTTTTTAAACTGGATGTGCGCAGATTTAAAACGAGAACCACACTTTGAAAACCACCCACCCTCAATCCGTGAAACGGTTGCAAAGGTTTAAAGCGAATGTGCGCGGCGCTAAGGGAAACCACCCACCCTCAATCCGTGAAACTTTTGCACTTTGTTTAAAGGAATGTGCGCGGCGCTAAAGCGAGAACCACATTGTGAAAACGACCCGCCCACAATCCGTGAAACTTTTGCACATGTTTAAAGCGAGTGTGCGCAGCGTTAAAGCGATAGCCACACTTTGAAACCACCCGCCCTCAATCCGTGAAACGGTTGCATTTTTTTGAACGGATGTGCGCGGCGCTAAGGCGAGAGCCACATTTTGAAAACCACCCGCCCTCAATCCGAGAAGCTCTTGCAATATGTCATAACGAATGTGCGCGGCGCTAAGGCGAGAGCCACACTTTGAAAACCACCCGCCCTCAATCCGTGAAACGGTTGCAAAGGTTTAAAACGAATGTGCGCGGCGCTAAGGGAAACCACCCACCCTCAATCCGTGAAACTTTTGCACTTTGTTTAAAGGAATATGCGCGGCGCTAAAGCGAGAGCCACATTTTGAGAACCACCCGCCCTCAATCCGAGAAGCTCTTGCAATATGTCATAACGAATGTGCGCGGCGCTAAGGCGAGAGCCACACTTTGAAAACCACCCGCCCTCAATCCGTGAAACGGTTGCAGATTTTTTGAACGGATGTGCGCGGCGCTAAGGCGAGAGCCACATTTTGAAAACCACCCGACCTCAATCCGAGAAGCTCTTGCAATATTTCATAACGAATGTGCGCGGCGCTAAGGCGAGATCCACATTGTGAAAACCACCCGCCCTCAATCCGTGAAGCTCTTGCACATGTTGAAATCGAATGCGCGCGGCGCTAAGGCGAGAGCCACACTTTGACAACGACCCGCCTTCCACCTGTGAAACTATTGTCACTCTTCAAGCTTTAGGATCACACATGGTGAGGAAGTCTCAGGCGAAACGCCCGGCGTGCCCTAAAAACTGACCTCGGGGTGCGACGGGGAGGAGTTATCTAGAAGGAGAAGGAATGGAGGAGGAAGAGTTGAAGGGAGGAGGGAGGAGCGAGAAGGGAGGAGGGAGGAGGGAGGGGGGAGGCGGGAGGAGGGAGGGGAGAGGGGGGAGGAGGGAGGGAGGAGGAGGAGGAGGAGGAGGAGGAGGAAGACAAAATAAAAAAAAACACCCTCGTGCTGGACGCTTCCGGTGCCCAGCTGGGGCACGGGCGGTCCTCACGGGTGCCCCGGGCGTTCCACCGCAGACGCCCCAGGAGGCAGAGAGGCAGCCGCTGGGGGGCGGCGCGCCGCTCACGAAGGGGAGGCAGGGTGCCGCGGTGCCGCCTGGGGGGGGGGGGGGGCGGCGGCGAGGCGGCAGGCGGCCGCGCACGCGCGCGCGCCGTCGCTGCCGCCGCCGCCGTCGCTGCCGTCGCTGCCGTCATTGCCGTCATTGCTGCTGCCACCGACGCCGTCGTCGCCGCCGCCGCCGTCGTCGTCGTCGTCGTCGCCGTCGCCGCCGTCGTCGTCGTCGTCGTCGTCGTCGTCGTCGTCGTCGTCGTCGTCGTCGTCGTCGTCGTCGTCGTCGTCGTCGTCGTTGCCGTCGCCATCGTCGTCTGCTAGCCCTGCCCCCAGGGCATGGCACGGAAGGAAGGAGGGGGGAAGAGAGATAGGCCAGATCCGTCCATGACTCCGTTGGGAGCTTCTGGCTCGCTACGCCAATAGCGCACGGCGATGCGAACAACAAAGCCACGACACAGCGCCACAGAAAAAAAGAAGGAAATGCACACTGCAGGGCCCATCGACCGCCTGAAGCCAAGGGTCCACTCCGAAGCACTAGTGCACAGACCCACCCAGGGGCGAGGAGGATGAGGAGGAGGGGGAGGAGGAGGAGAAAGAGGAAGGGGGGGGCCGAGATCGGGTGAAAAGAAGAAAACATGTCGTCGGAGATCTGGGGGATCCTTGACCCGCCCGGGCCGCAGCATCTGTCGTTCGGAAGGTGCCGAGGGTGCGGAGGGGAGGGGCGGCTGGAGGCACTGTCCCTCCTTCACTCCTCCTCCTCCTGCCTCCTCCTCCTCCTGCCTCCTCCTCCTCCTCCTCCTCCTGCCTCCTCCTCCTCCTCCTCCTCCTCCTCCTCCTCCTCCTCCTCCTCCTCTTCCTCTGTCCAAGGAAGCTGTGACCGAAGCGCCTCCAGAGGAGCGGCGCCTGCTCTCGCACTCTGTCCCACGCCTCTTCTTCCATGTGTCCCGTGCGCGATTCCCCCCGCCGAGCAGCACGCCCCAAGCCGCCACGGAACGCAACGGAGGGAGGAGGACCCAGGATCGAGGGCCCAGGAAACAGCATCGAGGACAGAGCACCGAGGATCGAGCATCGAGGCCCCCCCTCCCCTCGCTGGGCCCGCCTGGCCCTCCAGCTTGGCCATGGCCTTCGTGAGGGCCTGCGCCCTCGACATCTTCAGGGGCGCGACCGCCTCCGAGGGCGGCGCCTCGCCCGCAGCGAGGACATCCTGCAGCGCAAAGTCCCGACTCCCTGCCCGTGCTCCTTCTACTCCTCTACCTCCTCTACCTCCTCTTTCTCCTCCTCCTCCTCCTCCTCCTCCTCCTCTCCTCCTCCTCCTCCTCCTCTCTCCTCCCTCCTCCTCCTCCCTCTCCCCCTCCTCCTCCTCCTCCTCCTCCCTCCCCTCGCCTCCCTCCCTCCCTCCCTCCCTCCCTCCCTCCCTCCCTCCTCCCACCTTCCTCCTCCTCCTCCTCCTCCTCCTCCTCCTCCGCCTCCTCTCCTCCTCCTCCTCCTCCTCCCTCCTCCTCCTCCCTCCTCACCTCCCTCCCTCCCTCCTCCCTCCTGCCTCCATCCTCCTCCTCTCTATCATCATCATCATCATCAGCATCATCATCATCATCATCAGCAGCATCAGCATCAGCATCATCAGCATCAGCATCATCATCATCATCATCAGCATCAGCATCAGCATGCAGCATCAGCATCAGCATCAGCATCAGCCATCATCATCATCATCATCATCATCATCATCATCATCATCATCATCATCATCATCATCATCATCATCATCATCATCATCATCATCATATGATTGCTCCTCCTCCCTCCTCGTCCTTCTCCTCGTCCTCCTCATCCCCCCCTCCTTTCTCATACACCTCCTCCCTCATCCTTCCTCCTTCAATCCCCCCTCTCCACTTACCCCATGTTCTCCTCCCTCCACCTCCTCATACACTCTCCTACTGCATCCTCCCATCACCAACTCGAGGCCGCAATTCGATTCTATGGTATGGGAGGGAGGGAGGGATGAAGCGAGGGCAGGAATGCGCGGGGCCGGCTAACTCGCTCGACCTGGCCAATTTGACTTCCTCATGCTCCGCCTCCCCCCTCGTATCCTGCAGACGTACGAGCGGCGAAATCAGTCTTGCGTCCTCCTCCTCCTCGGTTTACATTCCTTCTAGATAACTTCTCCCTGTCGCACCCCGAGGCCAGTTCTTAGGGCGGGCCGGGCGTGTCGCCTGAGACTTCCTTACCATCTATGGCCCTTAAGCTTAAAGTTGGTAGAAGCTTCCCAAACGGAGGGCGGGTGGTTTTCACTATGTGCTATCGCCTTAGCGCGGCGCACATTCGCTTTGAAAAATTAAAAGAACTTCAGGGATTCAGGGCGGGTGGCTTTCAAACTGTGGCTCTCGCATTAGCACGGCGCACATTCATTCGTTTTTTTAAATGTGCAAGATAAAAACAATGCAGGGCGCACATTCTTAAAAACAATGCCAGGGCTTCACGGATCGAGGGCGGTACCTTTTCAACATATGGTTTTCCCCGTAGCGCCGCGCAGATTAATTTACAAAGTGTGTAAGAGTTACGGGTTCCCATCATCAGCGTGCCAGAACTGGCGTTTTGAAAGGATTCCGGATTATATGGATGCAGCAACTATGTTGATTCGCTGTGTTGAAGTCCCAGGCATGGCGTTTTGGCACGATTCAGGATTGTCAAGACGCAACAATCAGGTTCATTCGTGGCGTTGGAATCCCGGGAACAATGTTTTGGCATGCTTCAGGGTCTTCTAACGGTTGACTTCCAAAGAGGCAGTTCCCTCAGTAGAGGTGGACCGTTGTAGGAGCTTGGAGGGAGGGTGCATTCCAACATTGTTGATGACTCTTGGGTTTACACTGGTCCTCCTCCTCCTCCTCCTCCTCCTCCTCCTCCTCTGGCGAGCTGGTGGTGGCAGTCGGCGGGTCTCGAGCAGAAAACGGATTACGCTCAACGAGACCTGGCCACCTCGTGTGGGAGCGTGCACAAAGAGTGAACGCCCCCCCCCCCATCCCTGCTCATACCCTCTCCGCCTCATTCTCTTCCTCCTGCCTCCTCTTCCTCCTGCCTCCACCTCCTCCACCTCCCGCTCCTCCTCCTCTTCCTCCTCCTCCTCATCCTCCTGATCCTCCTCCTCATCCTCCTCCTCCTGCGCATCCCTCGTCCTATTCCCTTCTCCTCTTTATCCAACATGCTCCTCCTCCTCCTCCTCCTCCTCCTCTTCGTCCTCCTGCTGGTCCTCATCCCCCTCGTCCTTCTCATGTTCCTCTCTCCTCCATTCTCCTCGTCCTCCTCCTCCTCCTCCTCCTCCTCCTCCTCTGCTCTTCCTCCATCGTCGCTCCTCCTCTCCTCCTCCTCCTCCTCCTCCTCTGCCTCCTCCTCCCCCTTGTCCTCCTCCTCTTCATCCTCCTCCTCCACCACCTCCTCCTCCTCCTCCTCCTCCTCCTCCTCTCCCCTCCTCCAATTCCCATCTCCTCTCTATCCAACATGATCCTCCTCTCCTCCTCCACCTCCTCCTTCACGTGCTGATCCTCATCTCCTCATCCTTCTGCTATTCTCTCTCTCCTCATCCTCCTTCTCCTCCTCCTCCTCATCCTCCACCTACTCCTCCTCGTCCGCCCCCTCCTTCTCCTCTTTCTACTCCTCCTCTTCCGCCGCCTCCTCCTCCTCCTTTTTCCTCCTCCTTTTCCTCCTCCTCCTCCTCCTCCTCCACCTCCTCCGGTGTCTCCCTCATCCTCCGCTCCGCCCCCCCCTCGCCTGCCCGCTCGCATCCAGAAGGCATCTAAACGAATTTCTCCCTCCAGCATCCTCCCCCTCCTCCTCCAGCTCGTCTCTCATCCCTTCTCATTAAGATCATTGTTCTCCGCCGACCCATACTCGTCATCAACAGCCGCATCATCACCACCGCCATCATTCAGCAGCATAATCATCAGCACTCGATCAAACTGGGTACCGAGCATCATGAGCAACAATACGCATCATCAGCATCCACGCCATCATCATCATCATCATCATCATCAGCAGCAGCATCAGCATCTTCATCATTATCATCATCAGCATCATCAGCATCATCAGCATCAGCATCAGCATCATCATCACAATAACCATCATCAGCGTCATCAGAATTATCACTATCATCATCAGCAGCATCACCATCAGCATCATCACCACCATCATTATCATGACTACCATCATCATCAGCAGCATCATCATCACCATCATCATCCTCATCTTCATCATCATCATGAGCAGCAGCATCATCACCACCACCACCAGTTGCATCATCATCATCATCACCACCATCAGCATCATCATCATCAGCATCATCACGATCACCCTCTCCAGCGTCCTCATCCTCATCTTCGTCCTCATCATCATCAGCATCGTCGTCATCGTCACCGTGATCATCATGAGCAGCAACAGCAGCAGCATCATCCGAATCGCCGTCAGCAACATCAGTTGCAGCGGCAACATAACCAACATCCCCACCATAACCGCCATCATCCGCATCATCATCAGCAGCATCACCATCATCATCATCATCAGCATCAGCACCGTCATCATCATCATCATCATCATCATCATCAGCATCATCATCAAGATCATCATCATCATCACCATCATCATCAGCAGTATCATCAGAATCGTCATCATCTTCATCATCACCGTCATCCCTCCGCCTCCCCTCATAATGATCCGTCTTCCATCCATTTCCCCCATCCCGCTTTTCTCCTTATCCTCCAGTTCCTCCACCAGCCCTTCTCATCATCAGCATGGCTCTCCACCATGCTATCACCATCAGCATTAGCATCACAATCGTCATTAGCATCATGATCAGTAGCAGCAAAGACGCATCATCAACGCTCGATCCGAACTAGATCCCGAGCATCGTCGGCAACATCCGCATGAACATCAGCTGCATGAGCATCACCATCATCAGAATCAGCATCGTCATCATTAGCATCATCACCATCATCAGCATCATCGTCGTCATCATTAGCATCATCATCATCATCATCATCATCATCATCATCATCATCATCGCAATCGTCATCATCAGCATCACCATCAACACCATCACCAGCATCATCATCATCATCATCGTCAGCATCGTCAGCATCATCATCATTATCATCATTCTGATCATCATCATCATCATCATCATCATCATCATCATCATCATCATCGCAATCATCATCACTATCAACAGCATCATCATTAGCATCGGCATCATCATCATCGCATTCGTCATGATCATCAGCATCACCATCAGCACAATCGCCAGCATCATCATCGTCATAATCATCATCATTATTATCGTCATCGTCAGCAACGCCATCATCATATCGTCATATCATGGCCATCATCATCACCATCCTAATCACCATCACCATCTTCAGCATCATCGTTATCATCACCATCACCATGATTGTCAACATCACTATCAGCAGCACCTTCATCGTCAACATCATCATCATCATCATCATCATCGTCGCCATCATCAGCATCATTATCACCATCAGCAATCATCATATCCATCGTCGACATCCTCATCAACATCTTCATCTTCAACATCACCCTGGTCGTCATCATCAGCCTCATTGTCATAATTACTACCATTATTTTCATCAGCAGTATCATCGTCGTCATCATTCACATCACGACCATCACAATAATCACCAGCATCTTCTTCGTCATCATCATTACCATCGTCGGCATTACCATCACCACCGTCATCATCATCATCACCATCAGCATCATCATCAGCATCACCATCACTTTCACAATCATTATCATCATCATCAGCATCATCATCATCATCATCATCATCATCGTCATCATCATCATCATCATCATCATTGCACTCATCTTCACCACCATCACCATCACCATTGCCACCATCATCAATCATCCTCCTCCCCTACTCCTCATCCTTCCTCCCTCCTCCTCCCTCCTCCCTCCTCCTCCTCTTACTCCTCATCTACCTCCTCCTCTTCTTGCACGTCCTGCGCCGCGGGCCAGAGGCACCGAGTAGAAAGAGCCCGCTCTGACCCCAGTCGCCCTCGTGGCCCTCGAGCCACCACAGCAGGTACATACGACAAGAACCCTGCTGTGAGAGATCTGGGTGCACAATCGCGATCTATTTCTTCTGCTCTTCCCGAGGCCTGAGGGGCCCCGAGACCTGCGGGCCCCCGGCTTCTCGTGCTGCGCCTCGCACGGCCGGGCTCCCCTAGCCCAGCGATTGGACGAGAGGCCCTCACTTCGCCATGTTTTTCAATGGGTCGTCACTCGGCCGCAAGATCTGAGCCAGATTGATGAGACGCTTGAGGGAGTTGAGGTAAGCCCTGCCCTCGATCGAGGTCAGTGGCGCCATCTCCGCAGCTTGCCTCTGCATGTGCCCCTGGGCAGCCAGTGTCTTCCGCGATGGAGCGGTACCGGTCGAGAGGCTCGCGATATCGGAGCTCCAACGGGCACTTCCAATGGTCAAAGCAAAAAACAATTCTGTTGCAGCTGCATAATCCTGTGCTGCGGCCAGGGTGACTATCTGCCCGACTTTCTCCAAGAGTTCCCGCTCAAGCTTGGGGAACTCGTCGGGTATCACGTAGTCTGGGTCCTCTTTTTTGCACTTCCTGCACTCTATACGGTCACCACGATTTCGGTACTTACAGGACGGGCAATCCCAGTCTTCACGCTGTGAGGTGCACCCATGCTTAGGTGTTCCTGGCACTTTCTTTAACTTTGATCTCCTGTCGCGCGTCTCAGCGCGCGTAATGAGATCTAGCAGGGGTCGAATACCTTCCTCGGCGTTATGCACCTCGGAAGCCTCGCGAAATATGATGTCAGCAGTGATTCGTGGATCGCGTTCTGCCAGCTTCAGCCGCCATTCCTGCAACAGCCACTGAATAACATGCCGCACAAAAGCGGTCTTGGATCCTTCGAATTCTTCCCATTGCTGGAGTACCACTGGCTCTGGCAGACGGCTGGCTGCTCGTACATTATCAACACATTTCTCTAGCGGTGCCTTTGCCGCAGGACACATTGCATGCCGCTCCCAGCTCCGACAACAAGCATACCCCCAGCGCCCTGCGCCGTTACCTTCAGGAAGAGCCTCCCAGAGGGAACCCCAAACTGCCGAGTGACCCAAATCTAGCACGTCCTCGCGGTAAACGGTCGACTCCACCAAGTGACGAGCCGCTGTCATCTCCTTGGCCTGCGGCACAATTCCAGCATCCTCATGGTCGAGGCGCATAGTCAAACCTCTGAGTGTAACACCTGAAAAGCGTGAGCCCTAATAATCTCGAGCCAAAGTGACTTGAGCCAACATGGCTACGTGAGGGTCACCTGGGGCTTCATTGGGAGAACAAGAAATTCCTGTGGGGCAACGTCTGGCAGGCTGGGGTCCGTTCTGGTCTGCCAGCTGTGCCGTCGCGTGCGCTCTGGCAAAGGCTGAGGCAATGGCAGCGACGGTGCCCGCACGAGTGCGCACATGAGGGGGTTGAGCGGAACGGGGCCTGGGCATCCCAACTGTAAGGAGCATGCCACTGCAGAGCAGGGGGCGGGTGTGTCGAGTACGCTCAGGCTGCAGAAGACTACCAGGAAGCTGCAGACACACACATGGCTGAATGCACATGTGGGGCATGCGGAGGCCACTTGCTGAATACATGTGTGGAGGATCATCGTGCATGGGCCAGGCGAGGGCCCAGCGCTTGGAAAACACGCGGCGACGTGTGTATCCAGCTCTCGCCCAGGCCAGCCCCGTCGCATGCATCCAGCTTCCTGGCAAGCTCGAGATCATTACATGTTGGTGTTCTAGATGTATTCACCCAGGAAGGGAATGAGGCGTGCCCGCCAATCGATCCCACCAGTGGTTTTGTGCTTACTCGTCGCCATCGTCGTCGCGGACGTCGTTACCGCCGTCGATGTCGACAACGACAACTTCACGTTCGTCGTCGTCGTCGTTGTCGTCGTCTTCGTCGTCGCCGTGGACGCACCCATCGTCGTCACCGTTGCCGTTGGCGACGACGACGTCGCCGTCATCGTCGTCTTCGCCGCGCAGTGAAGCACGAGGACAGGAGCAGGAGTAGGGAACGTACGGGTGGATGATGGGTCAAGTTCCCAAAGCGACCGCCACAAATTGTTTCGCTCACTCCTCACTCCCACGCGCCATCCCACTACGTAAGTGGCACCCAAGACTCGACCACTCGATGATGAACAGCCAGTGGACACTCGATGAACAGCCATAGGTGCGCCACGCGCACCAGGTGCCCAATCGCGGTACAGCGCGGACGCGGCCGCAATAAAACCAATCCTGGCAACCCATGCGCGAGATGCACCAGGGGGTTCATCCGGAGCACCCTGAACGCAGCAACTTCATTAACGGCAGGGGGAAGTCACCGCGCAGCGCGAGGAGCAAAGAAACCCAGGGTACCCTGACGAACAGCAGATGGCTTCTTGACGCGCGTCCCCTCAGTACGTACGCCAGGTGCGCAACGCGCGCAGAGTGCTCCAGGTGCGCCAGTGCACGTCGCCTCAGCACTGCATCTCCCCTCAGATCCGTGGATCACGAACAAATTTGCAATGGATGGTTTGACCCAGCTCGAGACAACCCAAACATATTGGACCAAGAGCTCCGCCGCCGCCGCTGCCGCCGCCGCCGCCGTCATACCCCTTCAGGGTCGGCGGCACAGGCCGCAAGGCCTTCGCAATTTTGGGCCGAGAGCTCCGGTCGTGATCTTTCGCAGCGTCGTGATGTCTTCATCCAGACATGCGACGTCCTGTTTTTTCCCATACGGGCTCCCTGAAAGTCCCTCTTTCTCTGGGACCGGCTCTTCGTCCCGAGCTGTTTTTGTAAGGTCCCGAGGTCCGAAAGTGGCCCCACGAGGCCGAAAACGACAGAACAAACCTCCAGCCCTAATTTTTGTTACGACGCGATCCTGTCTGGGTTCACCACGCCAGAGCTCAAGGTCGATCCTTGTTGGAGGCTTGGAAATGGGCACCAACACCAGCACAGGGGGTTGCCTGCACCAGGGGAAGAGGATCCTAGATTTTGACGTTGGTGGTGCGCTTTCGGCCACCTGGGAAGCCCGAAGAGTGCCACCATCACCGAGATAGGGATCATCCTCCCTCGGTGGAGGTACACCGCCGATATTGGTGCTGTGGTGGCCTCCTAGACGGGGTCGGAGCAGATGGGGTCGGAGGATCGCGCCGCATCGCCGATACATCGGGCCAGGAATGGGGGTCGATACAGTCGACCCGTATCATAAGGATGCGCGATAAGGATGCAAGGCCTTGGAGGCCCACTTCGAAGCTTCTCGAGCGGGGCGCGGCTAACGAAAGTGGCCAAGGATGGGCCGAGGAGGGAAGGATGCAAGGGTACCCTTGGGGAAAGGGCCCCCCTAGGGGCCCTCAGGGGCCCCTTCCTGCAGCCCTCGCTGCCCTCCCCCATTGATCGCCTCCGGTCGCGATTTTTTCGCGGTACTGATGGTCATGAGGTCGGAGGCGTCCAAAATCGGACGTGGCCAGGACGAGGATGCATCGGTTCCAGGGCGTTATGGAACGCTTTCAGAGCGTTCCAGAAAGCTCTGAGAAGACCGCGGCGCCCGATACATCCTTCATCCGCTCAGAGATTCTCGATTTATCCTCATCCGAATCTGTCCTCGTCCTGGCTTCGTTTCCCCCCCCTGGCCTTTGTGCCCGGCAGGTCTCCGAGGTCGTGGCCGTTTCTGCGGACCCAGACCCCCGACGTCGTGATTTTCTCAAAACGTCGACCCCCAAGGGTCTGCATCCTTTCCCCGGGACCGGTTTTTCATCTGTAGTCGCTTCTTGACGGTCCCAAGGCCCCGCAAGGGCCCCCGGAGGCCGAAACTGGCGAGAAACCTCCCGTCGTGATTTGTTCACAACGCGAGGGGGGTCTGGGGAAATGGCCCCCGCAAGTCTCGGCCCCTTCCCGAGGACGAATCTTGCGTCCCGTGTTGATTTTGTGTTGCTGGTCTGGGGCCCACGAGCCGTCCCAAGAGCCAGAGAGTGCCAAGTACAACAGCAACGCCTTGATTTGTTCGAGACGTTCCAAGGGGCCCAGGGACACACACACACACACACACACGCACACACACACACATGTAAAACAAATACACCAATCCCAGGATTCTCCATATTTTCGCGTAGATGTTCCAGGTTTTCGTTCCCCCCCCCCCCCGCTTCCCATATTTTCCCATATTTTCCTGGGAATCGACGATCACTTGTGTCTGTGTGCTTCTTCCCCCTTCTGAGCGAGTGCGTTCTGGCCAGAATGAAATCGGGCGTGTCCCTCTACAGGAGGGGAAGGGAATATTCAAAAATAGTCAGGAAATAGACTGGGGGCGTTTTTTTTTAATAGCATTTTTTGAATATTTGGGAAGATGTTTGGCTATTTTCTAGTCTTCGCCCAAGATCCACCTGTAGGGGGACACGCCCGACCTAAGGCCAGAATCTCGAGGGGAACATCCAGGCGCGGCGACGAAGAGGCCCTCGAGGGCCGACAGGTAGCGGAGCCGCCGAGCAGAGCTCGAGCCTCGATCCTCGAGGCTCGAGGCTGGACGCTGCAGATCTTGCATGCAGTCGGACCTGGGCGTCGTAACAAAAATCAGGAGGCGAGGTTTTTGGCCATTTTCGGCCTCTGGGGGCCCTCGCCGGCCTCGCCGGGCCTCGGGGCCGTCAAAACACAACTCAGGATGAAAAGCCGGTCCTGGGGAAAGGGTCGGAACTTCCAGGGACTCCGTATTGGAAGAATCAGGACGTCGCATGCCTGGGGTTGGAGCTGGGCCCGAATAACATCCTTCAAGAACACGAGACCCTCTGTCGGCCAACACAAACAGAACATCCAAGGGTACCATCCCCAGGATGCGCCCAAGAACATCCATCAAGCACAAAGAACATTAGAGCACAGTGGGGGCCCGACCGCAAGAAACCTTCCACAAGAAACCCAACCCTAAGACCCCAGGACGTCCATAGACTTTTGGTGTGGGAACGTTGCGCTCTCCACAGCAAAACCATCGAAACCCAAGAAACCCAGGGCACCCTGGAGGCAAGCAGGGTGGTTCTTGGCATGGGTCTCCACTGTATCGCCCCGCAGGCGCTGGCATCGCGCGGAACGCTTGCGTGCCAGGAGATCGTAATCCGTCTGGGGCGCGCCGCGTGCGTCAAGCGCGCGAACTGCACCAGGAGAAGGAGGAGAATAGGAGGAGGAGGAGGAGGAGGAGGAGGAGGAGGAGGAGGAGGAGGAGGAGGAGGAGGAGGAGGAGGAGAAGGGGGAGGAGGAGAAGGAGGAGGAGGAAGAGGAGGAGTCCAGCTGTTAGTCCCAGCTGGCCTCCACGGGCATCCCAGGAATGTATCTCGGGGGCGGCGCCGACACCCGACGACGCTCGGGCGCGGAGCGCCCCAGCGGGGGGGCGCACCGCCTCCGGAGCGAGGCGCCGGGGCGTGGGGAGGCCTCTCGCGCCTGGCTGCCCGGCGGGCCTGCCGAGGCCAGCTGGGCAAGGGCCCCCGGAGGCCGAAGGTAACGAACCCCCCCCCGCCGCGGTTTTGTTCACAGCGCGACGGGGCTCGCCGGCCCCCACCCTGGCCGACCCCCGTTTGCACTGACCCCCGTCTCTTGAGCCCCGACACGTGCCCCCCGCGCTCCTCGCCGGCCCGCGGATTGAGCGGGATTACGGTGGAGGCCAGTCCACAAGAAACCTGCCACAAGAAACCCAACCCTGAGACCCCAAGACGTCCATTGACTTTTGGTGTGGGAACGTCGTGCTCTCCACAGCAAAACCATCGAAACCCAAGAAACCCAGGGCACCCTGCTTGTTTCTTGTCATGGGTCTCCACTGTAAGCCGGATTCAACAGGATCAAGCTGATTTAAGCGGGATTAAGCCGGCTTCAGCCGGATTTCGGACCAGGGCAGAGTCAGAAGTTGGCATCCCAGGAGTTGGTTGCATCCGAGCAAGAGTGACCTTTAGTGCACGGACTAAGGGGGTGCAAAGTGGCCAAACCCAAGCGCGCAAGCAGCCGCTAACGCATCGCGCTCAGCGATCGGGGGGACCCCGATGAGCCCGCACTAAACGGTCACTCTGGCGGAGGGGGTCTCACTTATACCCTGAGATCCGACGTTGCGAAACAAATGCAACATCGCAGCAAATCACGCCTGGAGCCCCGGACCCCATCTTCCCGCATCCTTCTTCGGCCTGGATCGATCTGCGAGGGCCCCGGGGCCCGACATGCAGCGACGACGCCGGTCGTGAAAAAAAATGCCAGGCCAGGACCTCAGGGGGATCCCCGTCGCTTGAGCCCCGACGCGTGCCCCCCGCGATCCTCGCCGGCCCGCGCCTGCGGCTCCGCGCCCCCGTGGCCCCGCAGCAGGCCGCTGCTGGCCTCGGCCCAGCGGCCCGGGCGAGCGCGCGGCACGGCGAGTGGCAACGCGCGCGACACGGCGCTCCTCGTCGTCCTCGTCGTCGTCGTCGTCGTCGACGTCGTCGTCGTCGTCATTGTCGTCGTCGTCGTCGTCGTCGTCGTCGTCCTCGTCGTCGTCGTCGTCGTCGTCGTCGTCGTCCTCGTCGTCGTCGTCGTCGTCGAGGGCGACGGCCCTCGAGGGGGCGTCGTCGTCGTCGTCGTCGTCGTCGTCGTCGTCGTCGTCGTCGTCGAGTGCCTCCGCGGGCGGCCCTCGAGGGGAGCAAAGACCGACCCTCCCGGCATCCCTATAGGCCCCATACAGTCTCAGACTTGGTCGCCTCGTAAAAATAAAAATCAGGGCGGCAGGTGTTTGGCCGTTTTCGGCCTCGGGGGGCCCTCGCCGGGCCTCGGGGCCGTCAAAAAACAACTCAGGATGAAAAACCGGTCCCGGGGAAAGGGTCGGGACTTCCAGGGACCCCGCATTGGAAAAATCAGGATGTCCCATGTCTGGGGTCGGACCTAGGAATGAAGAGTATCCTTAAAAAACATGAGACCCTCCGCCGGCCAAACACACAGAACATCCAAGGGCACCCTCCCCAAGATGCACAAGAACATCCAACAAACGCGAAATATGGAGGGTAATCTCCCCCCTCAGAACAAAATAATGGTCTGACGACAAAATTCGTGCTCTTAAAACGCAGAGGAGCTGGTGTGCTAAAACAAGGCGGTCTCAGCAAGAAATGTTCTAAGAGCATTGCGTGCAAACCAAAGAGGATTCTTCGAATATTCTTCGGTGGGCTTATACAGTAGCCTCCTAGATGGGATCCAGATAGATGGGGTCGGGGGATCAGGCCGCATCGCCGATGCATCGGCGACGATCGCGATGCATCGGCGACATCGGCGTGGAGAAGATGGGGCTCCACATCGAGCCGCATCGCCGATGCATCGGTGGTGCGTCGAGATCCTCTGACCCCATCTACTCAGACCCCCGACGCCATGATATTAAATAACGTCGACCCCCAGAGATCTCGACCCATTCCCTGGGACCAGTCGGTTTTTGATCCCGATTCGTTTTTTGACGGTCCCGGGGCCCAGCGAGGGCCCCCAAAGGCCGAAAACCAGGAAAAATAGTCAGTCGTGATTTTTGTCATGACCCGAGGGGGGCCTGGTGTACTCCAACATCGTTGAGTAGTCTTGAATTTGCACTGGTCCTCCTCCTCCTCCTGCTCCTCCTCCTCCTGTTCCGCTCACCCTGCTCCTTCCGCCTCCTCCATCCTCCTCCTCCTCCTCCTCCTCCTCTTCCTCCTCCTCCTCCTCCTCCTCCTCCTCATCCTCCTCCTCCTCCTCCTCTTCTCCTCCTCCTCCTCCTCTTCCTCCTCTTCATCTTCCTCCTCATCCTTCTCCCTGTCCTCCTCCTCCTCCTCCTCCTCCTCCTCGTCCCTGTCCCCTTCCGCCTCCTCCTCCTCCTCCTCCTCCTCCTCCTCCTCGTCCTCCCCCTCCCCTCTCGCGCAGGGGGGCCCTACACGAGCGCACGCTGCGGCCGCAGAGCATATACGGTAAAAGAACTCGGCGCCGAGGCCGCGGCGATGAACATGCCGGTCGTGAGCGTCCAGGCGTCGCTGTAGATCTTCCAGGAGATCGCGTCGGCGGCCTGCTGCAAGCCGTCGAACACCTGAAGGAGACAGGGGGGGAACGACATTCGCCGCAACCGACCCCCTCTTCGAGCATTGCGCATCACACGGGGAAGACGGCATCCCAAAATAAGATCCCCCCGTGCGGGGTTCACTCTGCGGGGCGTAGCGGCAACAGCTGATTTCGTTCCTCTATCCCTCCTCCAGCTCCTCCTCCTCCTCCTCCTCCTCCTCCTTC